TTTATTTTGACCAAACGCCTTTATCTTACTGTGCTCTAGCGGTCTATTCCGGTGGAACAACATCTCCCTGGACAATCAACTCATTTTACCTCACAGCGCCGATTTCGACCACGTTACTTGCGCTACTGTGGGGGATTTTACTTTCGATGGGAAATGTGAGATTGTCCTGGGCACCTTTGGACAACGATTGTTGTTTTACCAATGGACTCCTCTCGATGACTCTGGTGATGATGGACCGGAAAGAAAATTGAAGGGAAGTTACAGGTGAGGCGAACCACAGGGCTGATCTACTAGCCCAGTTTATAAAGTAGTCTCCGATAGTATCACAGTTGCGGTAAGCTTTCCTGTTTTTCATCGCATCTGACTCACCTGTACTCCTCTTAGCTGCATGTACACCTGAAAGGTAGTTGTTGTTTTTGGTTTCCCTCATTTGAATATCTATTTTGCTTGGCCCATAATCTACCGGAAACGAATTAGGGACTTCTAGGCTTTCTCCGTTTTCATGGTACATCATTGTTAGGTCGCCCATGTGTTAAACCAATTCCAACCGAGTCGCAGACTACCACACGCTTTCTTCAAGTATTGGTCATACTGCTCGAATCAGCCGTTTTACAGGCTGTCACTAGCGTTCTGTCCATAACCGCGTACCCTGTACACCAAGTCAGGCCTCTCTCGATCCATTTTAGTTTCCAGAGGTGGTTTCTACGCGTATCTAACACATTAGTTTCTTTGTCTAATGCGATGGGAAGTCATTGGCGCTTACCACACCCCACTACGCTTCGGCCAATTTCATGCTATTTTTCCATTTCCTTGTACCGTATATTGACACCGAAAGCAATTCTCGGCAGTCTACCGCATCTCATAGAACTCTACATCTCCATCTAAGTAACGTGTACGTTCCAGTTGCAAATGGTTCGTCGCACTTAATCAGCAGCCAACTGGCCTTTTGCAAACCTGTAATGGCCGTCATATTGATAATCGTCGGTAGTGCGGTGCGCATTCTTCATTCCTATCGGAAACCCTAACCCACTACCTCTCAACATTAGCGGTTTATGTCACTAGGACACGGGCGATCGCGGCAGACGCTCATGACTAATAAGCTAACTGCGATATAGCGCAACTGTCGTACATATTGCATATTTTTCGGAAGACCGAGTTGGTCCCTAGAGCCGCGATTTCCAATGCCGTAAGCTATTCAGACTAATTTTGGATTACTCATGAGTAGAGGATTTTTCAGTATAAGTTAGAGGTGGTTCATCTCAATCAGCTCCTAGCCAAACAGCTTTTCTGACACTTGACACCGATTGTATCTCTTGTCTTTGTTTATGCTATCCAATCGAGACAGATCAGGGCGGCCACAGACCTAGGGACGGGACTTGAGCCCATCGCTGTGCATCTCAAGCTTGTTTGGGCACGCTCAACTAGGTGTAGGTACTGAGGAGACAATGCATGCGTCTATCGACTCGTTTTCTTACCGCACTTATCAATTTATCATTCTAATTGATAAAACCCACGCTTTAATATGTCCATCGTGCTTGTACATTGGATGTGCTGACTTTCTTGCTGTAATTTCCTGCGTTCATCTTCCTCTCTATAACCCATGCGAATGAAAATCCACTTTCAGATTCAGCAGCTGCAGCGGCACAAGGCCACGTGCTTAGTTGGAATTTTTTGATTTACGTTCGAGAATGGTGGTATAGTGATTATCACACATTTTAAATATCTGTTCTCCAATAGCTACCGCCTTAGCTATGTCCTGCACCTTGGTATGATGCGGCGGTGCTTGTTTACCCCTTCCACCTATTGGATTACACTGCTTGGTACCCTCGGTCCTTGTGAGGCTAATCCTACTAGCTTGGTCAACGGTTGGACATTAGACAAACTTAGCATTTAGGACCTCTGGTTTGGGAGGTCGGAGCTGTGGTGGCACCCATTTCCGTCTGGCCGAATCATTGTAACATACTCTCCTTCTCGCAGCTAGGATTTCGAGGCATAGTCTTTGATTGCGGATGGCGCAGCCTTGATTCTCTGATTAATCTTCGACCACATTCCCCCTCCAACACTTAAAAGTGTCGCCTTATCTGCGACATACATCATGACAAATTAGCCAAAACAAGCTACTCCTGGTGCTTCTCACTTTATTTTTCTACCCATTCCGTTTACACCTCTCCTTCTTACAATGACTAACCTTCTACAATCTCTAGCCTAATTAATGACACCTGCACTACCACTGGGGCGTTATACCATGTGTATCTGTATACCAGCACTACTCAATGAACCCTTTCATCCATATCCACGCCACTCTGTTTCTCTGGAGGCGTTCAACGCTCGTACTCTAAGACAGATAGGCGAGCGGGCTGCATTTACACGCGCATTAGACACACTCAATGTCGACGTGTGTTGCATGTTCTAAACTAGGGACAATTATCCTCACGTGGTCATCGAACTACCTGCGCCTTGATTGTCCCCTCGCTACTACTAATGCCGCAACTACAGGTCAAGCTGGCTTGAACATTATTATCAACCCCTGAGTTCCTATATAACTGGTTGTTTTGGATCCTCGTGAACAACCTTCTGTGTGCAGCCCGGTTGACGAATCAACCAATGTTAGTGCTTGAAGCAGCGGTAAACACGTATACCCCCACCGACTGCAACTGTGAAGCTACACAGAACGCTATTTATCTCGATACTAACACGTCACTTGGCAATGTTTGTTTCTCCAAATCCCCATCGTTATCTGCCAAATGATAACATTTTATTATGCGTCCGTGTTCTGCGTTCCATCGTGAGGTTCAACGAGAATCACCATTGTACAGTTGCAACACCGTGTTCCCCTAAACAAAGTTAAACTTCGTGCCTTGCCAAGTGCTTGTCTTGCATCCACTGGATATCTCAGTGAGATTAGTTGAGGTTTCTGGTGTTGCGTTGTTTATCTACTCCCTCAAGGTGACCGAATTCCTCTTGCCTGACGAAAACCTACCTCATCTATAAAGGCGTTTCCTTTTGTTCAAACGTTTACCGGCTTTAAATATTTTAAAGTAAATAAATGCTTCATTCCCGACAATGTCGGGACACGCCTAAAAAGCATGATCATTAGAATACATACGTGTATGATCAGTACTTGTCACAACTGTTACTATGTAATCATCGCAGTGAGGCTGGACATTACCGTGGTGTGATGGTTTGTGTGCCTCAGCGATCCATTGAGCTATGTTAGGTGGTGCTTTTTTGCATCTTCAGAGCCACTCATACCAGATTGGTCAATGGTTAGAGGCCAGACAAACTCAGCCTCCTGATCCTCCAAGTTGGGGGTTGGAATGATGGTGGCTCCTTATTCCTTAAAACGGACTCCTTGTAGCCCAACGCCAAACCCGCTGTCTTGCGGTCAGGTTTTTAAACCAAAGGCTTTGGTTCAGAACCCTAAACGTTCTCCTGTCTAGGCCTGGGCAACGTAACAGTATCCTGCCCACGCAATACAATGCATTTCTCTTCAGCCAGTTTCTTGATGCTCTGACTACCGCAAAGGATAATCAACGGTTCCCCATTTGCTGTATCGAGCAGAGTGAATAGGGGTTTGGATGCTACTGCTCAAGCCTTCCCATCTTCTTATTCCTCCTCTTACGCTTTTTCTCTCTTACCGTCCCATTCCAGCTTCACTTTTATCCCCCCTGTTTTCAAGCTCCAATTCTTGGCCCTCCCCCACCTTGCTTTGCTAGGCTTTTACCTTCTAGTTTCAACTTACATGTGAACGGGGAACGTCATTCCTATCCTGTCGACAAGCCCATATCCAAATACGCGGCCCATTCCAGTTCATCGGCTTCCATTTGGAGCTCTCGATCTTCCTTCAGATTGAAATGCCTCAATGTACGCACATTGCTACAGATCGGTCAACAGGCAGCACTTGCATGAACATTAGAGACCATCTCGATCGATATCTGCTGCTTATCTGAGACCCACCTGCAAGACTCGAGCTCTGTGCTCACTTTACGATCCCCTTCAGGTGACACCAGCAGCACTTTCTCATTGCGCCTATCCGGTGACGATGCATCTTCGAGCACCGGCCAAGCCGGTGTTGGTATTGCCCTGAGTTCCCGGGCTGAAGCTGCTCTGGTTGACTGGATTCCAATCAGTAGCCGGTTGTGTGCGGTCCGATTGGCTGGCTCGTTCAAAGCTTCGAAGTCGCGCGGAACTAACAGATGTCTATTCGTCATCGCTGCCTATGCACCCACAAACTAGCGATGATTCGGTAAAAGACGACTTCTATCGCCAATTGAACGGGCTTCTTCGCCACAAAAGAAGCTCGGACACTGTAGTGCTGTCTGGGGATCTGAACGCTCAAGTTGGAAAATTATCCACAGATGAGCTGCATCTGGGCGGCCAACATGGTGTAGGCTCCCGTAATGATAACGGTGAGCGGTTACTTCATTTGTGTGAAGATGCTCGCTTATTTCTTGCGAGCACTAATTTCCGACACAGCACTCGCCGGAGGGTGACTTGTCGCCCACCAGCCTCGAACTAGCTCCGGACGCAAATCGATCACATTGCGATAAGTTACCGATGGAGAGGTTGCGTCCAGAACTGCCGCTCGATTTGGAGCACAGGTGTGGACACCGACCATGCACTTGTATGTGCTGACCTGCGGATGCGCTTTGGCGGACGCCCACGACGACGTTGTGAGCGCATCGACACCAGCCAGCTGGCGAAGCCAGCTGTTCTAAATGCCTATCAAAGTACGCTGCCATGCGAGTTGGATAAACGCTCACTGGATGCAATTGAAGATCACTGGTCTCATATTCACCAAACCTTACTAGCAGCAGGAAACTCCTCATGTGGTATGTCTAATCGCCAACATGGACATTGGGTCTCTTATCGATGCTCGCCGGCATATTCCGCCTGGAAGCGAACACAATGAAACTCGCAAAGAGCTCCGGGCAAAACTCCGTGCTAGCCTGAAGAGAGACCGCGAATCCTGGTGGTCTCATCGTGCATCAGAGATGGAAATGGTCGCTGCCCTTGGTAACCATCGTAAGTTATTCCGGCTGATACGGGAAAAGGGCAGCAGAAGACCTGGTGTTAGTGAAACTATACGTGACGAGAGTGAACAGCCTATCCACAACTTGTCAAAACGCTTGGAGCGTTGGGCTGAGCACTTTGAAAGGCAATTTAATCGGTCGGAATTGTTAGATTTCTCGCCGACCAGTGATCGCCCTGCTCCCTGGGCTGTCCCTTTGGATCCACCCTCTCGCTCAAAAGTCGAACGTGAGATCGGACTGTTGAATTTAAATAAAGCCGCGGGACCAGATGATCTTCCTCCAGCCCTCTTCAAATTCGGAAGACCTGCTCTTGTGGATGATTTGTATGAGTTACTAGTGAAACTGTGGGGGTACGAAACGGTCCCAACCGACTGGAGCCGTTCCGTCATGGTCCCAAGTTTCAAGGGAGGCTCACGATCGGAATACGGCAACCATAGAGGAATCAGTCTGATCTTCATCGCCACCAAATTGCTTGCCTCTGTCATCCTTCACAGACTGACTGGCACTTGTGAAAGCCAGATTCGTGAAGAGCAAGCCGGGTTTCGTCGAGGTCGTGGCTGCATTGACCACATCTTCACTTTGCGTCAGTTGTTGGAGCACCATCACATAGATTTGTGGCCTACCATTTTCGTGTTCCTTGATATCAATGGTGCATTCGATTCGGTTGATAGACGTTTAATTTGGGACTGTCTACTCAGGAAAGATGTACCCGAGAAATATGTAAATATTATCCGATCATTATACGCGCGTAGCTCAGGCAGTGTGAGTGCTTACGACAAGCTGTCGTCGCCCTTTAATATCTCCAGCGGTGTGAGACAAGGATGCCCGCTGTCACCTTTCCTCTTCAACTTCGCTATTGACGAAGTCATGGAAATCGCGTTCACAGGACACGACTTAGAAGGTGTGGATCTGCTCCCAGGAGAACGACTTCTTGACTTTGAGTATGCTGACGATGTTGCCCTAATCTGTGACAGCTCCCAGACGTGCCAAGCGGAACTGGACAGATTAGCACTGGCTGTCAGCCGCTTCGGGCTTTACTTTGCACCATCGAAGTGCAAAGCGTTCCTCCAAGATTGGTCTGGACCGCCTCCTTCGCTGACCCTAGGTGGGGATCAACTAGAAGTCGTTCAAAAATTCAACTACCTGGGAAGTTGTATCAGCGCCCGTGGGATTGAAGATGAGATCACGAACCGTATAGCAAAAGCTCGAGGCGCTTTTGCTAACCTTCGCCACCTATGGCGCCGGCGCGACATCACTCTTGCCCTGAAGGGTAGAGTGTACAGTGCAGCGGTACGTTCGACCCTACTGTACGGTTGTGAAACCTGGCCCCTTAGATCAGCAGACATAAAGAGGTTAGTTACGTTCGACCACCGGTGCCTTCGCAATTTAGCTCACATCTGGTGGGAACACCGCGTGAGCAACGAGCGTGTTCGACGCCTTGTTTACAGCGCAGAAAAGGAAATGAACCGTTCAGCACCGTTATTTCACGCACCAGCATCCGATGGCTAGGCCACGTGTTACGCATGCCAACCCACCGACTCCCGCGACGTGCGTTGTTTGCGCGCCGGGGTGTGGATGGAAGAAGAGGAGAGGTGGCCAAGCGATGACTTGGTCGAGAGGAATGAAGGTCCTCACTTCGGAGCTGGCCTCGGTTGGAGCGTCTCGGCTCCCTGGTTGGGGTCCGATGGACGATGAACACGTTTGGCTGGATACACTTGTTGCTATGGCAAGGAGCCGACCTCAGTGGCGTTCGTGCTGTGAGTTTCTTTGTCCCACCTTATCCCGCTTAGCTTCTCCCTCCAATCACGATCTTATTATTTAGCATTTTATAATTTTGCATAATAATTTTTTTCTGCTGCATAGTAGCCGGCGGATAGCTTACCGGAACGATGCCCATCCGTTACCGGTAGCTCAGCAGGCTTGCACCTGTTGCATTTTATTCCCTTTTTCTTTTAGGTATTGCGGCACAGTAGCTGAGTTGTTTCCCACCTCTAGCTTACGTGTATAGTGGGTGTATGTATGTATGTAAGTAGGTACGCTGTGCCCCATGCTGAGGCTGATGTTGCATTCTTGATGCTTCTTCACCGCAGTTGGGCTAAACCAACTTACACTTAAACTAGGTCTTTTTCAGCTGGATAAATTTCATTCCGCTTTATTTGGTTTGTTCTGCCTCTCTGAATAATGTTCTATTAACTGGCCACGTTGCTTACACTAATTGCGCTTGTCTTCGGTAATTTTGTTGCGTTTGTAGCATTTTAAGTAACTTGTGGACATTTCTTACTTATCACGGATTTGTTGCTGACCAACTTACTTCATATGGTAATTTAGCGAAGAGTTATGCCACCGTATCTGTATGCATTATTGGATTTATTTTATTTCAGCTTGTCGTTTAAATTGAATGGCTGTTGTTTGATATCCCTGGTATGGTTGCGCTTGATGTGTATGTTGACAAGGTGCCTACCTGTCTATTACCCACTACATCGTTCATACTGGCTCCAGGAGACAGTTGGTCGTTGCTGGAGGGGACGGGGTGCACGGTTCTTGTGGCCGTGCTAGGCTCAAAGAGCGGTTCCATGCACTCAGTGTGGAGCGGACTACGGTCCGGCCACCGCCTTGTGTGCGGTTGATTCCCCAACTACAGCGTGCTTGTGTTTGCCTGTGAAGGAGTGTGGGCCGGCTCCGTTGATGAAACGTGGTTCCCATCCGCATGCCTCCCGGTCTTATTCCTTCGGGTTTACACTGGATATGGGGTATGTGGTTGGAGCTGTGGGTGGTGCAGCGCAAGCCATCCATGGTCCCTTTGTAGGCGCAGGCGTCCTGTGGCTTGCCACAGTGACAGGCAAATCCGAAACCGGATGCCGCCAACCAAGTAGGTACGCTGTGCCCCATGCTGAGGCTGATGTCGCATTCATGATGCTTCTTCAACGCAGTTGGGCTAAACCGACGTACACTTAAACTAGGTCTTTTTAATGTGGATACAATTCATTACGTTTTATTTGGTTTGTTCTGCGTGCTTGTTAATCTTATCCCAACTTACGCGCCTCGCTCATGCAAATTGTGATAAACTTGCGTAATTTTATCGCGTGGTATTTTTTAAATAACTTTCGGACATTTTGTACTTATTGCGTATTCACATTTAACCAATTTCTTCCGTATGCTCATTTAGCGAGTATTTATGTCGTCATATTCGTTTACTTTATTCGATATCGGCATTTCGAATGATTGGCTGTTGTTTGACATCCCAGGTGTGGCTGCGCTTGATGTGCATGTTTACAAGGTGCCTACCTACCTGTCTTTTACCCACTACCTCGTCCATCTGGCTCCGAGAGACAGTTGGTCGTTGCTGGAGGGGACGGGGTGCACGGTCCTTGTGGTCGTGCTAGGCTCGAAGAGTGGTTCCATGCACTCAGTGTGGAGCGGACTAAGGTCCAGCCACCGCCTTGTGTGCGCTTGATTCCCCAAATACAGCGTGCTTGTGTTTGCCTGTGAAGGAGTGTGGGCCGGCTCCGTTGATGAAACGTGGCTCCCATCCACATGCCTCCCGGTCTTATTCCTTCGGGTTTACACTGGATATGAGGTGTGTTGTTGGAGCTGTGGGTGGTGCAGCGCAAGCCATCCATGGTCCCTCTGTAGGTGCAGGCGTTCTGTGGTTGGCCATTGTGACAGTCAAATTCGGAACTGGATGCTGCCAACCATGTATGAGTTAGTAATCATGTTGAATGAATTTGTTACTGTTGCGCTGAATTTGTTGTTGTCTTCGGTGAATTTGCCAACATAGTAAGGGATCAAATACTATTTTCATATTGGCTGACGTCCATGGGTGGTATAGGATCCTCCGGAAAGGCAGGAAGCAGGGACTTTATTTAGTGGTGAGTCATATCCGCCACGTCACAGTGTTCTTGAACAGACATTTGTGGCTTTTAATGGGAAGAACGCTTGCCAGGCGAAAACCCACCACGTCCTGGAACACTGCCACCGAACCATTCTCTGAAACAGGATTTACCCGGACCACCCAACTGGCACCACGTGGAGGTTGTTCGGCTAGCCAGCCGCTGACCGAAAACAACAATGCGTCTGTTTTGCAACCCAGATATCACGTGCTCGAGCCTGCGTAGAGGACCTGGCGACATTTGCAGTATCCTTAGTCCATGCCCGACTCGTGGTGATTTCGTGCCAGCGAATCGTCGGTACGGCGTGTTGCTGATGTATTTCCTTTTCTATAACCCCATGATACTGTTGTAACGTTTCTTCTTCTCTCTGCCACTGACAACTGTTGTACTGCTGCTAGTTGCTACATGAGACTGCGACTGTCTGACTTCTCAGCCATGCGCCCAGCCAACCAAAGGAATACAAAAGGCAAGAACGGTAGACAGAGACTGTATCTACAGTATAGGTCAACTCTAATTATTGGTAATCGAAACATGCTAATTTAGGAGGTCAAAGTCGCTCACTATTCCTCGTCTGGTTTTCAGCCAGTGTGAGTGAGTTCCACTCCACGGGTTAATCATATTGACGCAGGCTGGTATTTGCTGACCGATCAATCACACTCGATTCCCACTTTTTGCTCCGTTTGCTCCTCTATCATTCTAGTTTTCACTGGAACACCGTCTGCCGCTCAGTGATAATGCTTTGATTATGCATTTGTTTGTTTATTTATTCGTTTATTCGATTTCCTCAACTGTTCCCCTCATTCTCACAGTCTACTAGACCAAAAATCTCTCATTGGACCGATTCACTGTTTGTCGCCTCCGTTACACTTGACCGATGATGGCCTAGCTTCCTTGGCTGTGCTAACCAGTCGGGGTTTGCATATCTACCGACACAAGCTGGATACCATCATGCATCTTTTGCACGCGCGTCTTTCTTCACTCCTTGAGAGGGCTTCCAACCACACGTGAAATTCTAGGTGCGCGGAAATAAGAGAGTAGATACGTTTTTCCTGTACAGCATCTGCTTGTGATAATTTTTCTAATTTTACTACCTGTTGTAGGCATCCTTTCTATATTTTCGTTGATTCTTCAGTCATTCATGCGCTTCCTAATAAAAGAGAATAAAAACCACACCATTATAGATTTGCCTTTTTAATCTGATCATGGTCGGTTGTCAGGCAACCGCGCGCCGTCGATACAGACACGCATCACCTGCCTAGTCACCCAAGAGAACTGGCAATACTTATTTCTACTCCTGTTACCAATGCTACTGTCTATTAGTATTCAGCTCAGTTCAGCGACTATAATCCGGGCACCGAGGATGTCATGACTCACGTCGCCAGAATAATAACTATCAACTAATCGGGATGGGATGACTGCGCCATATCTGATAGAGCGTCCAACCGCTGGTATGGACGATTCCGAGAACCCCATAGACGAAGACAGTACGGACGAGCCTGTTCAAGTGTATCAGTCAATTTATTCATGCCTTTATACCAAGTCATCGACTGGCCACCTTGCGCTTTGGCCAGCTTGGTGCATCCACAGCGCATAAGGCACGCCGAGGAAGCTGGTCGGCTGAGGACCTTACCTAGGTAACGAAGACGGTTAGCATTCAGCCAACACTAGAGTAAGGCATTATTGGGCTTCTTGACCAAAACCAACTGTCAGACAGCAATATTCCCCCGGTGTTTCCACCATATGTGAACACTACTCCGAAAGCACCGGTGGTTAAACACGGCCAAGCGATTAATGTCTTCACTGCGAACTGGCCAGGTCTCTGATCCACATAGTAACACCAGTCTTATATAAGCGTTAAATACCCACCTTTCACAGACAGGCTGATACCCGCCGTCTCCATAGGTGATTGAGTCCATTATTATTATAAAGGACCTATTTTCAAGATATGCAAGAAATTTTATTCAGATGCGATCCGGCTCTCGTATGTGTGGGTGCGACTCTTGTTGTCTATGTGTGCTCTTGTAGTTTATTGAAAAGCTGCGCGTGTTTTAATTGGCATGATTCTCGTTTCTAGCTTATCCGTGTGATGGGGAGCCTCACGTTGAGTTGCTAGGTGACCACAACTTTGAATCGTATGAGTACTGGAAAATAGATGTTGACATCGGTGCGTCGCCCATGAGCTCATGCTCGCATCTCACCAGTCAAGCGATGGCTTACTAATGAAAAGCATCAGCATGATAGCACTTCTTTATCTCATCTGGAAATTCATTTTGGGGTGCTTGGTAGAGCACGATGACTCAATTTGAGGGCTCTGTGCTAGGCGCGCTTAATTTGGGTGGATATTTTGTGCATCCACCTGCCAGTTATTACCAATATTGCTCCTGGTTGAGTAAAATCCTGTGCTGGTTAGCCAATGACATTACAAAAGAACGTGTAGAGACTCGCCGAGAAGCCGAGTCTAGTTAGCACTTGTCATTCTCCTGAACGATTTCCTCGGGAATGGCCACATCTGCGGTTATACACCCTATCGGAGGTGGGCGGCTACACGGCCAATGGCGCTCCTTCATTTCTTCTTTTATGTCGTATCTTTAACTATACCGCCTGAGGGTGTAACTTTAAATCCCCTCGGCGGCGTGTGTCAAAGCAGTTAGATCGGTTGCCCCTAGACTTAACCGATATGCCAGACATCTTCGGTTACTCTTGAAACACTTCTTCTGGCAGGAAGATCATTTTAAAGTACCCATTGCGTGATTGGATTACGTCGCGCAATCTCAATGGCGGGATCATCAGTTTGGCCTACACTTTTCTCATTGCTAAGCCATTTTTATTCTAGCTACTGCCGCTTTACCCAATTCCCGAACAATTGCCACTTTTTTTCTGAACTAGTTCCTGACCTCGATGTTGTCCTATTCCGTCAACATTTTGTAATCTCTTCGGGGTACTGCTCTACATCTGCGTATTATTTAATTTGCTCACGAAGTCAGAAATCCTTTCAAACGAGTCATGAGGAAACAATTTTGTAAATTGAAAAGACACCGGGCTGCCCGGCAAGTTAATCTTGGACGTCGGTTACTTGACAAGACAAATTCCACGCATCTTATCCAGCAGTATTCGACCTCTCCTTGAAAAACAGTTGATCTTACTGCTGTTAGACAGCTAATGAGTATACGAGTGCGGCCATTTTAATCCCTTAAGAGAGCTGGTTACATTCTGATATGGAAAAGGATTTTCTACTCGCATCTGATCACCTCATCAGATCCCACCGCTCAGGAATGCCTCACACTCGTGAAGGAGATGTCATCACCTGTATACATCCATCAACACTTGTGTAACTTGTCAGCCAAATTTGTCACATACTCTGCAGTCAAAATCAGCTGCCATTTGATGCATGATTCTAAGATCGCAAAAAGTAACAACCTTTCAACAGGATACTCTGAATTCAGATATTTCGGGTATTCTCATCAACTGTTAAAATACAATCCGTGGAAAAATTGTGTTGCGTTGTCAAAGAAACAACGTTCAAAGTCATTCCGTTCAAATTTGAAGCAAAAATATTACCAAGGCAAGATGAGGCTAATCATAAATTTTGTCTGTTTTCCTAAATTAAGTTTCAGCTGCCGAAATTCGGATGTTTCAACAAACTGAAGCGAGCGATATTTGCTCTGTCGTGGGATTTGGACATATGGAACAGTCTAGGATGTATTGGACAATGTAGCTTGCGGGCAGCTTGGGACCGTTAGAGGTCATATTACTTAGAATGTGCACACGTCAAGCGAAACCATGCATTTCCTTTCTATGTTGAAGCTTCGTACTTTTTCGACGAATTCGATTGTATCTTTCATAGTGGGTCCATTAAGCTCGCGCCGAATAGGTTCGAAAATTGGAGTTAGCCATCGTGCAAGTCTCTGATACGGCGCACTTCTCATTGAGAAGATCGGACGCGGGATCATGGATTCTTTATGAGTCTTTGGTAACCAGTACTTATGGGGAATCTGAGATCCGCGTTGCCGGAACTGTGTGATCGTCATAACGCCCATCAATCCACATTTCAATAGCTTTTTCAGTTCACTAACTCTAACCCTTTCCACTAGCTCGATTGTGTCATGACCTGTCGACTTACCAGTACACCGGCTAATGTCTGCAACAATCCACTGCTTTGAAAATTATACCCATGGAATTGATAAAACACAAGGTGGCGAAGAACACTCTTTTCGATAAATCTCATCAGGCGTTTACAATTATAAAGTGGAAAGTTGAAGCGGGATAGGCTGCTGAAGCGCGATAAAGATTAGCGAATCAGAGCGAGGTAGAAAGTGAGCTGTCCTAATCGATAAATTGCTCGATCCACTTAAGCAGCGGCTACCACAGTATACGTCGGCAGATAGATACACACACACGTATGCTCACGAGACATAGGACGTGCTTTTCAACTGATTGGGTGATGCACTCATCACCCGATGGTTGTCATGGTGCGAAGTGGAAGCTGTTTGGAAGTGTGTTAGCCCTAGGGCAGAAGGAGCGCATGAATAAGCGCCCTCAGTTTGCATAGTTCAGGTTGTGTAAGCCTGATCGCAATGGCTTCGGCCGTCCGTAACATTCGTTTCCTAAGCCCCTTGGGGTAGCGTTTTGGAACAACATAAACCACTGAAAGCATCAGTAGCCTTGATTTAATGTCCACTTTCGACCAGATGTTCTAGGATAGAACTGTTGATGCAACCTACAGTACCTTTCTGCAATGCCGTGGGACAGTGTTCCGATATCCGTTTAGACAGACGTCTAGTCGTATTTCCGAGGTACTTCACACCACAGGTGCAAGTAAATTGATATAGAATATAAGATTCGGACTGGACCGGGAGTCTGTCTTTGAGACGTTGGCAAACAAACGGCACGGTTTCAGCAATGATGTGTGGAGATGCAGCTGGAAACGTTCGAGCTACTGCAGCGGAAACTCTTTTGTTTAGCAAATCGAAAGCAGTATCTCCCTTAAAGGGAACTGATAGAAACACATCTTTTTTGGGGACAGTTGTAATCAATTCATGACGATCATGAATCACTGCGTGCTTTCGGATGAAGTGGGCTGTATAACCGTTTACTTGCAACGTTTGGAAAATACGGTTCTTTTCGGCCTCCAAGGTCTCTGGGCTACATATTTTGGCGACGCGAAAGTACGGGCAATGAACAAGGTTCCGTTTGTACTTCAAGGGTGCGAAAATGCGTGTATTGACCGACCCACGTCGTTTTCCGAAACACACTTCTTTCTAGTGAATCGTCTTCTTTTCTCCTTACTAAAACGTCCAAGAAGGCCAGTTTACCATCACTCTCGATTTCACTGGTGAACTTCAAAGATGGATGTACACGGTTTAGCCGGTTCAACAGGCTTGAAACATCAGTGGTTGAATCACAGACTATAAACGTTTCATCCATGTATCGACAATAGAAATCAAACGAAGAGATTATGGATTTTGTAGGTCCATGTTCGAGCATAGCAAGGAAAATGTCGGCAAGAAGCGGTCCGAGAGGAGACCTCATCGCGACTCCGTCCATCTGTCTGTAGTAGATACCATCAAATAAAAACTGTCTGTTGGAAGTACATCGTAAGATTAATTCCTTCAGTTTCTGCACTGGAATACCCACATTTATGTTCCTTTGGTTTAAGTAATCAAAAATAAGATTAATCGTCTATCAGCAGAACTTTCGTAAAAAGTAATTCAACGTCGAAAGAGAGCATCAATTTACCATTTACTCTCATACATTCAACTTGTTTCACAAATTCGAATGTGTCTTTCACAGTGTGACTGTATAACTCGCGGCGCACTAGTTCCAGCAGATCTACAATCCATTTCGCAACGGAGTAAAAAGCGGAGGTCGACGTGTCAATTATCGGACTCAGAGGAACCTGTGGTTTGTGTACTTTAGGTAGTCCATAAAGTCGCCTGATGAGATTTATCGAAAAGGGTGCTCTTCGCTACCTTGTGTTTTATCAATCCACTGCATGTTTTGGGTATAGT